ACATGTTCTTGTAGATCGGTACTAATATACTTCGCCTTCATTTTTCGGCCATCTTGTTTGCTCGAAAAATGAGGTTGAAAATCTTAATTAACCATGCTATCGCTATGTCTCAGTGGCCTCTCCACGCCTCAATAGGGATACAATCAGGGTCCATCGCCCTGTCTGCTTTCATCCTTTTTAAAGCCTCCCTGACCTCATTCTCCTGGATATTAAATTAAATTTACGGGGCAATTATTTCCATGACTTTTTTATGAACTTTGTCTAAACTTCAATGAACTTACCCACCTGTCAGCAAGATAGGAAGAATGGGAAAAGGGGAGTAAAGAATTGAGCAGCTCACTTCAATGATAATGCAGAGAGTACTCAAATTACTATATTTGCATGTTTTAATCCGGTTCAAGCAGATACTAGTGTAACATGGCAACTATAGGGTAAACCTTAAGACGCGTTTGGTACCGCGCCGGTAATGTTTTTGCTGTATCGTATTCAGGAAGCGCCGCTTTCGGATATTCTTGCGTAAAACGTGGATCGTTTGGTTACTTCGGCCGAGTCCCGATTTCCAACCCCGGCGAATTCGGGCGGTTTCAATTTCGTGAAGGGCTGTATCGGGAAGCGCGTTTATGGAAAGCATCGTCGCCGAAACAAACGCTCGCTACGGTTTTAGAAACCGATGTAATCGGAAGCCGCCCTTTTTTCGGCGAACCAAACGCATCGTTAGTTTCTTTGCTGATTTGCTTCTTTTCTGTTTCATCCAGTGGATTGTATCTGTCTTTTCCCGGCAAAAGAAATTAGATCGCATCAAGTGAGTTGTCAAATCTTGCTCAATTTGTTAACAGTTACCTTGTACTCCCTCAGTCCCAAAATAAGTGTGTCAGCTTTAGTATAACTTTAGTGACACTTACTAAAGTTATACTAAAGCTGGGACACTTATTTTGGGATGGAGGGAGTATCTTTGTGTATGTAACCATTGCTGGGCATCGTTCGCAGGTACCCATTTGGCTTGTGCGGGAGCTATGTTGGACTAATGCTGCTGCTTGATAGGTCCCACAAACAGAGATACAGAAGATTTCTTAAGAGAGCTAGGTGATGCCGCTCACTTATAATATGCAGCGGCCGAGGAAGACTCTGCGCTTGTATGATGCTTTTGTGAAAAGTGTTGTCATTGCTGCATATATCTTTTCGCTCTTTTGTCCATAAATTTTATGCTGGTTTGGTCTGGCGATCTATCTAGTTATCAACTGAGGTTCGAGGTCTTGTCCATTTATTTGATTTGGTGCCTATTTTTCTCCTACTATTGTAATGATTGTTTTTTTTAGACAAGTACGAATTGGTTCATTTGTACAAAGTACTCCAAGTAACGAGCAATATCAGAAGTAGAGATTGTTTAGCAGTGCTATGATGTGCTACTGTTTCTGTACTCATACCAGATTTTGTGGAAGACCGGATTTTGAAGTTACCAGTAATTTTACCACAAAAATAGATCATTATCTAATTTCTGAAATATCGAAAGGCAAGCCTCTGGTTTGGGTGGGCGATGCGGAATGAGGTATAAGGCAGATGCTGTGCCCAACGTATCAGTTGCACAGGTTCAAGCGGGTTCAAGCGGGATCTAATCGGTAAGGTTAGCGGCTTGGCAAGCTTTTATTCATACACTTTTTACAGTAATCACGGCACTTTATTACTGTTAGGAAAATATTCAACATAGTATTATCAAGAGGCAAAAGCCATGCACAGGGGGAGGCCAAAGACCAGAATGCAAAAGGCTAAAGGCCACCATA